CACAGCTGACCTCACATTCGAGATCTCTCTGCTTGTCTGTCTTCCTCCCGCTGGGATGTGAGCTCTGTGAGGACAGGGACGTGTCTGACCTTTGTCGTGCCCCTGAGCCCAGGACAGGCTGCGGACACCTGCGGGTGAGTGAATGAGCGTTCCCAGGGCCCTCCGCGTCCTGGTGTTTATTTTACAATGAACATAAGATAGTATCTGACACTGGTGGGTAAGGGCCATGTTTGGTGCCCCTGGTTATGTTTACTTGAAGCGTCGGCCTGATATGGTTATTACCATTTTCAAAATGTGGTGACCATTGATGATTAACCTGGAGAACACAGAGCAATTCAGACTGTCCTGCCTCTTTCCAATTCCAGTTCAATGTGACTTTCCTATTGTGACCTCCTCTCTTTCTTTGGTGTCCCCTTCCCTCTTCAGGCTCCAACAGAAGTCCTCTTTCCCTCTCAGAGCCCCGTCCTCCCAGGAGACCCCAGCCAGTGTCTGTGCTCCCTCCTCCCGCCCACGCCCAGGGCATCGTCCCTCTCACCTGTGAGCAGGAGCCCCTGCCAGGGGACGCGCCCTCTGCGGGGAGGGGCTGAGGGGGGCTCCATGGTCTCTGCTGCCTGCTCTGTCCTCTGTGCAGAAGAGCTTTGGCTCCAGGAATGCTCCGAGCACGGCTGCTCCGACGAGTCAGCTCTGCTGTCCTTCCTCCCTCTGTGCTGAGCCTCCTCCCCGGGGCTCAGAGCTTTGGCTGGTCATGTGTGTCAGGGGCGGGGTCTGTGCCCAGGGCACCTTCCTGTCCCCTCCCCTCTCAGTCCTACCTCCATGTCCGTCCTCCTTTCCCTCTGTCTGTGTTTTGCTTTCGCAGACCACACTTTGAGAAGCAAGGCTGATTGGATCCTTGCTTCCATTCTGTTACGGAATGACCTGCCCTCCCAGCACTGACCTCTGCTGTGTCCTGGCTGTGTCCTGCTGTGTCCTGTGTCAGCACCACACAGAGAACCCTGGGGTCAGACCAGGGGGTTTATTTCTCTTTGCAACACAGAAACCCAGCTGGGCCCCGGGTCTTGTGGTTCTCTAGTGCTCTGGGGAGGAGAGTGACGCCCGGCAGGCTGGTGGCAGGGACGGCTCTGGGGGCCTGAAAGGGGCAGCCGATTCTATCTCCAGAGTCACCATCCTGGCCTCTGAGCCAGGCACAGAGCCGCAGGCCCAGGAGTCTCAGGAGGAACTGCAGCTCCCGGGTGTGGAGGGGGCGACCTCCTCGTGCCCTGGGAAGAGAGGACTGTAGTGCAGGGAGGTGGGAGGCCTCCGGGGTCCGCTGTCCTCGGGGGAGGGCGTCAGGGAGACCCTCCCTCTCTGTGTCTGGTGGCCGAGCCATGGCTCAGGGCCCGTCCATGTTCTCCCTGACCGTCCTGGGTGGCCTCTGCCCTCTGTCCAGCTGACCCTCCTGTGGTTACCCCACCTT